CAATGGAGGGATGATAGGAGTTACTATAGAGAATTTCTGGGTGTCTGGCTGGTGAGTCTTGCCCACATGCTCAGGGTTTAGCTGATCGCCATATTTGGGGTCGGGAAGGAATTTTCCTCCAGGGTAGATTGGCAGAGACCTTGGAGGTTTTTTGCTTTCCTCTGTAGCATGGGGTACAGATTCACAGCTGGAGGATCTCTGCATCTTGGGGTCTTCAAAGTATTTGAAGGCTTCAATATCTGAGATATAGGTGAGAGGATTATTCTAGGAGGGGTGGGTGAGATTCTGTGGCCTGTACTGTGCAGGGGGTCAGACTAGATGATCATAATGGTCCCTTCTGACCTTAAAGTCTATGAGTCTATGAGGTGGGAGCAAAGAGGACATGTAGCACAATCCTTGTAGAAGGATAAGCAGCTCTGCTTAATGAACTTCAGAGGTGAGGTTCTAATGCTGGATTCTTCCTTAGTCAGAACTAGTTTTAAAAAATATACTTGTGTTACTTTTAATACATGGGAAAATAATAGTCTGACAGCCCTATAGCTTACATCTCTGTTCATCAATCAAACAGTGATCGCATAGGACAATAACACTACAGACATCTCCACTGTACCAAAATATCTCAAGCAAGCCTATGGCTGGCCATTGCATGCAACAAGGAAAAAGAAATCATATAACTTTACAACAGGACCAGACTAAATACACAGCAATATGGAATCCCATGCAGGCAAAAGAATGAGAGACCTCCAACTTAAAAAAAAGAAAAGAAAAGAAGCATTCTGAGAACAAAGATGTTCCAAAGCAAAGTTTTGAAATTTAAACCAGTGCTATTGGGCTAAAAGTAGTAACATTACTGTCTCTATTGTTGTGGTGTTAGGAGCTTCCTTAGCATGCAATAGATCCAGTGCTTATAGTGTGCCAATAAAAATGTTTCTAAGCTAGCTCTTGTTGAGTACACATAGCATGCCGATTGCCATGTTGTGCCTCATGGGTCTCTGATGAACTCAAAGGGAGGAGATGCCGTGGTCACAGTGATGGACCTAACAGATGTAAATTAGTGGAACATGATGGTAGCAGCAGCATTTTAAATGGACAAGAGGTGAGTGGACATGTTGTAAAGAACATCAGAGAAATGGAGTTTGCAGTTGTCATAAAAGAAGGCGAGGGCCTGGAAAACAGAGTAAATGGATAGAAAAGGCTGAATCTTAGAGAGAGGATGAAAGAAGCAGCAGCAAGATTTGGACAAGGGCATGACGAGGGAAAAGGAGGCATGGCCATGGTTTCTGAGGCACTTTGCATCAACCTAATCTTCCTCCCTGTAATTCAGTCAAGTCCCAAACAACTGGAGCTGCCTGGAGAGG